TGAATCAAATAAATTTTTTTCAGTGTATACATGACGAGATTTTTCACCACTTTCAAGAAAAGATTTTGCACTGAACATCACTTTTTAATCATTCAAAAAATTATAAAGTTAATTAACGTTTCACATACTTTTCACTATTGATTCGTAAACGTTTACTAAAGTTACGCACACTCGTATAGTATTCGATAAATTCTTTACTTTTAATGAATTCAATTAAAAATATTATTAAAGAAAGTTAACTAAAATTCTACGGAAAAAATGTCCCATCTTTAAGTGATAGACTAGTCTCTTATAATTTATTGACGAACTTTTTTTTTTCCTTGTAGCTCTCATCAATACTAGTAATCAATCAATCAACCTGAGAACTTCAACCTGGTAATTGCAGTCAATAATTACTCCAAGCTGCTCTGTTAGTCAATTGATAACGTACAGTTCTCTATAGAAATCTATGAAGTTTCAGTTGCTCATAGTTACAGTCTGTTATAAGTCATATGATATACCTTCAACTGATAGCTAAAAATTTTGCTTTAAAATTTATTAGTAGTTTCTATCAATGATAGAATGTCTTTGGCAATGAGAACTTCAATAACTAGTAAAACTGAAGGGTCTCAAAATGCTGTTCGACACAGACATTGGCTGCATTAAACTGGTTTTCCAGTTATTTTGATAGCTTCAAATTGTAAAATGACGTCGAGTTGCGATTTCTTAAGCATAAAGCACATCAAACACTGATTGTCAATTTAATCTGATAGCTTCAGCCAAGCTGTTCTTTCAGTCAATTGATAGCTTCAGTTACTAGAAATCTCGGAAGTTTTAATTGCTCGTATACAGTCCTTTTCAAGTCATTGTAATACGTTCAACTGTTTTTTAAAAAATAACTTCAACATTTTTTTACTATTAGTTAATAATTAATTTGATAAGAAAATTTTTTTTTTACTATTAATTAGTTAAATTTTGCTAATTCAAAAGCAAAAAGTCAGTCACTAATTCAAATATAAGTATTCAAAAAATGTAATCAAAATGGAACTACAAACAAATTTTATTCGAATTATTTACTATATTCCCTATTTTATATTTTCCGGTATTTCAAAATTTTTATACATTTCAAATATTTCCATTTACAGTTTAATGCAGGAATTTTAAATTTAAAGAATTTGAAAAATTCTTGTCATTAAATTCTCTATTTGTTTGCTTCCGCCTTAAGTATGTATACGTCATCCTTTTATTTATATATAGGATATATTTTAAAATAATTTACGAAAACGTTTCTTTTATTCCTAAATCCGTTTCGGTTGGTAGCATAAAAAAAAAAAAAAATATTATTTTTTCCTACCCCGGAGAGACATTTAGAAGGGGTATAAGTTCTCATTTTTGAAGTGGAAAGGGTTTAAAATATTGACATACAACCACCCATTGTGCATATATATAGGACATTAGCTCTATGATCTCCTATCATATATATATGTATATATAGGGCGTATAGAAATCCATAATAGGAAGGACAACTGTGAAACGTTACTCTGTAGTATATTTTTGCAAATACAGCTGGCAACCTCTTCCCTTTGCAATCGTCAGCGCGACGAGTGACAAATCACAGAAATAGGTGATCCGCCGCATACATTTAGAGCCGAGCCAAAAGTTTAAAGTGTGTTCCGCAAAGATTCTGAATTTTGCAAAAAAAAAAATAATTCTTGCCCTCAATTTTTATAATATTGTCAAAAAAAAAAATTGAATAAATTGTAATATTTGTTACCTAACATAATTAATAACTATAATATTAAAGAGTAGTTAAAAATTATTGTAGTATCAAAAAATAGTAATTACAAATTATGGTGGTAACAAACAATGGTAGTTACAAATTATGGTTGTACCAGATAGTGGTAGTTATAACAAATGATTTTTAGAAAAATTCTTGGAATTTTTCTTAAAATTTTAAAGTTTAAAAAAAATACTAATAATAATAAAATAATAATAATAATAATAATTTTAGTACGGGAAGCACATTGTGCTCGTAAATCGAAAGTTGTGCTTCTTGACAACGCGAGAGAGTAGCGATTGCGTTTGCATTGCGATCTTATCTAGGGGCGTACACGCAATTGCCCCGAGCCGGTCCCTTAAGTTGACTTCTTTATCGTCACAACGAAAACAATAGACTCAGATTTAAAAAAAATATATTTTTTTACTCTCTCAAATTATATTTATATATAAATCAGAGAAAAAAAAATTTAATTTAATTTCTGTCCAAAAAAATAAAAAATACATTTAGTTGCCTTTTTGCTTCCACATACAGGAAGTATTATTTTTTTAATTTGTTATATAGTAATTATCTTGAATTAAACAACAAAATTTTCTCTAATTCAAAGAAACTTTTCTTTATATGATTTAAAATATTTAATAAATCATTTGAAAAAAAATCTTTTTCTCTATTTTAATCCATTTGAATGAGATGAGACGTGAAATTTTTGAAATTCCTGATATTGGAAATTATTTAAATTCCAAACCTCTTTCTCTCTTTTATATGTGGGAAAATAAAGTTCCTCGCATCGCGTTACTTCCTCAGGTCATGGACTTGACCATATAGAATATTGTATATATTATTATTATTATTATTATTATTTTATTATTATTAAAAATAATTACATGCGATTAATTTTTTCCTATTTATTAAAAAAAATTGAAAATCACTTTCGTATTTTAAAATTATACAAGGATGAAATGAAATACGACTGTATATTCTGAGCTCCAATTACGTCACTTATTGCTGTGTGGAATGTTTTTAAATGGTCAACCTTGAATTTATATACAATCACTGGGATTATTCAAGTTATTTTATGCGCGATTTGTTCCACTAAGATTTTCACTTCTCATTGATGGTGGAATCGACATATTTTGAGAAATAATACAAAAAAAAAGAGAGCCCGGGAAATTAGAATATAAAAAATGATGATTATTACACTCAGGAGATAAAATTTTTGTTGTTGTTGTTGTACCAATAAAATTTTGATTTAACATTTTAAAAAATTCGAATTTTCAATTAATAAAAATTGAATGAATTTCACATTGAGATAATCGTATATATTATGAATAAACTGCAGTTTTGTGAGATTAACTCGTAATCTCTATAGGCGAAAAAAAAAAATAATAATAATCGGGTGTGATAAAACCATGCAATTCTATACAATAGTTCACATTTCTTTTATGTAGTTGAAGCTCATTCTTACTCGTGTCATAAATCATTCAAGTACCCTTTTTGATATTCGCGGGGTAGAAAAATACACTTCACCAAAGAAGCGAATTATAAATTTTTTTTTCATAATAAACCGTGTCATATTTTTTAATTAATATTTTGTTACATAATTTAAACATCATTTATAATAATCATTTTTTAAAATAAATTTCATTATAAAATATGTACTTGTTGTTAATTATGTAATTATATTATTTCAGAATATAAATAAATAATTACAACATTTTTGTCTGCGTAATTGACTAATTAATTAATTGTTTAAAAAAATTGTTAAAAATACACAAATGTGCCAAACTTCAGTTCCATCAGTTATAAAATTTCCATGAAACTCAAACTGTGATTATAACGCGTTTCGATGATAATACTATTTTTTCAATTTTATTTTTATTCTTTAACAATTAATGATAGCTTCAAATTTACTTAATAAAGTTTCATAGTCAATGATATGAGGTGTCAGTCAGTGATGTAAAGTTTCAGTCAATGATGTAAAGTTTCAGTCAATAATATATAGCTCCAGTTGTTGGTATTTTCAGTCAAAAAGATGATAAACGTAAACGTATTAAACATCATTTGCTGAAGTCTTAAGCAATGAGAACTTCTATTACTACAGTAAAGAGTACCAATATGCTGTTCGACGCAGACATTGGCAGCACCAAGCTGGTTTTCCAGTCATGTGAAACTTCAGATTATTGGTAGTTTCGAGTCATGATATACGGCATTCTAGCTCTCATCAAGTACTGGTAATCAATCAATCAGTCTGAGAGTTTCAACCTGGTAATTGCAGTCAATAATTACTCCAAGCTGCTCTTTCAGTCAATTGATAGCGTACAGTTATCTATAGAAATCTCAGAAGTTTCAATTGCTCATAGTCACAGTCCGTATTAAGTCAATGATACCTTCAACTGATAGCTAAAAATTTTGCTTTAAAATTTATTAGTAGTTTCTATCAATGATAGAATGTCTTTGGCAATGAGAACTTCAATAACTATAGTAAAACTGAAGGGTCTCAAAATGCTGTTCGACACAGACATTGGCAGCACCAAGCTGGTTTTCCAGTCTTGGTGATAGCTTCAGAATGTAAAATGACTTCGAGTTGCGATTTCTTAAGCATAAAGCACATCAAACACTGATTATCAATTAATCTGATTGCTTCAACCAAGCTGTTCTTTCAGTCAATTGATAGCTTCAGTTACTAGAAATCTCGGAAGTTCTAATTGCTCTTTTAAAGTCTGTTTCAAGTCATTGTAATAGTTTCAACTGTTTATTTAAAAATAGCTTCAAAATTTTTTAGTACTTTCAGTCAGTGTTCTACAACTACATAAAACTAATCCATTTTAACCGAATTAGTTATAAAATTTGGCTCAAATGTGTATTTTCGCGTATATAATTTTTATTTAATATTTTTTTGATGTAATAAAAATTTAAACATTTGTACTGAGAGTTAATTATCTTTCTTTATTTTCACTCCAAACGTATCATAAACCTAACCTATATTTGTTTTGCTTATTTCTTCAGAGCGCATCATGTATATACCGATATAATTAATTAAATTTTTATAAATTTATTGAAATTAAAAAACAAAAGAAGAAAGAAAATACAACAATAACGACAAATTTTTTTCTCAAGAAAATTGGACGCAATGCAAAAATTCGCAACTTTTTAAATATTAATTAATTTTTTTTTCCAAAATTCTATTCAAATTTAATTTAAAAACTTTAATAGAAATTTTTCAATTTTTTGAGTAGAAAAATCATTCGCATGTAATTATTATTTTTATTATTATTATAATTATTATTATTTATTTAAAAAGTGTATACCTCTAACCTTTATCTTTGTGGAATAAATTGATGATATTCTTCGGCCAATATGACATCTGATGTTGGAATCACACACACTTATACACACGCGATTAAAAAAATCGAATACTCTTGAAATGAGTTTAAATAATTAAAAACAAAACACACTTTCTTTTCTAAAATTTTTAAACGATCGCGATTTTAAAAATTTTTCGAACACTCCCGAAATGAAAAAAAAACTATACTAAAATAACAAAAACTTAAAAAAAATGAATTATTAAATTTCAAAATTTTTCTGAATAATTTGATATTAGAAATATATTGTTTGAAAGTAAAAAAAAAAATGAATTATTATTTATATTGAAGAGAGAATGAAAGTCAAAGCAATACCATTAATGATAGTATACATGCTATTGAAAAACGGAGAAAGGGAGATTTCTAGAACCTCCCTCTCAGTAGCATGTAGTAATTATAAATACCTTGTTGGATACCGTTACGTTTCAATTTCAATTCGAAATGTATAATATATAAATCCTCTCTCTCTCTTTCTCTCTTTTTCTCTCTATAAATGTATGATAAAAGTTTTATTCTCATGTGGTGCAAACGGCTGCCCCTGGATACATTTTTTTTTGCAGCTGCACATATGTATTGCGTATATCCGGTACTGAAAATGAAAATGAAAAAAATAATTCACCGCGGGAGAAATAACAACGATCATGATCATTAATGCGCAAAATGTAGGCCAATCGTTTGCAAACAAGTAAAAAAAACCTCGGCCTCATATTATGTTTCGTAAAATCAATTTTTCCATATATATAATTTTCTTCACATACTTTATAAAATTAATATATTGAGTAAAAAAAAAAGATTTAAAAATTTCCAATATTAAAATATGTTGTAATTTTTTTTACTTTGCTTTTTAAAAATTATATATAACGGTTTATTTAATAACTTCCGTCTTCTTGTAATGTTGCACATTATTAAATAATTTCGCTAAAAGTTTAATTAAATTATCATTGTCTAGGTAAAAAAAAAAACATAGCGTGAGAATTCAATATATAAAACATTTAACACATACCAAAGAGGCATTTAATTGGCTTCCGATCGTAATAGATCTTCATCATTATCAGAAAATACCATCACGCATACTGTATATAACAATATAACGGCACGTGTATTTTAAATAAAAAGCAAATTGAAAATTACTTTTTGCATATATAATTAATTTTTAATACTTATTCTAATAAACAGAAGATATTTTTAAAAATTATTCCTTTTTTATATATAATAAAAAATTTAAATAAAGAATATTAGGTATAAAAAATCATTTATTGAAAATAAAAATAATCTCAAAAAATAAGGAAATTAAGAGGACAACTGATAAGGTCCTGAAAAGTCGAAATTAATTATCAGGTAGCGCGCAACCAAACGAATAGAAATTACTTTGATGTTTATGAGGATCGTAAAAAAGGCACTTCGGAAGCAACTCGTTAATAAATTACAGTTCGAATCTATGCGTAAACGTTTGACATTCAAACTTATATAAAAAAAAGTATGTGTAAGGTAATATATACTTACGCGTATATGAATGTATCCGTTAATCCCTTTTCCGGTTTGAATAGCTTTTAACTATATATATGTATATGGGCATATAGTCAATAATAATATTTATGATCTTTGAAAAGAACCAGTAAATCATCAACAAATCAGAAACCATAAGTTGCCAATATAATGTTTAATATATGCATTTATTAATTGGTAGTCACGTTTTATCCTGGGACCACCCATTCTAAATGATCCATTCTCCTTATTCTTCCTTTACCGTTATTTCTCCTTTATTCCTTTTTTGCATTTTACTATTTTCTTCTTCCTTTCATTTTGTTGAATTTTTACCTAATTGAAATGATTAATTATTTATTTGACCAAAAAAAAACATAAATAGCAAAAAAAAAATATTCCTTTTTGTGTAATTTAAAAAACTTTTCTTTTTCACTATGGCCTTCGATTGGTATTATTATAAAAAAAACAACAAAAAAGAAATCAATGTATAGGCACTTTGATAACATTCGAAATAATGAAATCATGTTTGGTTAAGTGCGTTAGTATATATAATACCAACATATATTTGAATCGTAAGTTGATTTTCAAGGAGACCTCCTTTCAATGGAATTTACATTTGCATTATCTCCCCTTACTATCGACGATAAATTGATAATGAAATAGAAATACATATATTTTTTAACTGGGACTCACTCTTTGTGTGATTTTTAATATATTGACCAAGTCGGCCAATGTCTCCCCCGCGATAAATAAATATATTGTGAAATTATCGTTTATTCACTTATTATAAATTTTATTAAATTAATTAATTTAGTTATACCAAATAATTTCTAAATAAACTTATAAATATATTTTAATTATTTTTTAAATTTATTATTTAATTATTTTATTTCTTTTCTAATTATTTAATTTCTTATTTTAATTTTTTCTAATTATTTTATTTTATTTATTATTTTAATTAAATAATAATAGTTAAAAATTTAAACAAAATATAAAAAAAGAAATACCTAACCTCGAATGTTACTGTTGCGAGAATAGTGATCTTCTGCTCGTCGGCATTTTTTGATAATAAAGAAGTCGTTGATCTTGTTTTCAACTTTTTTTTTCCTTTTTTGCTATAGCACGCGAAGGTCCTTCAATAATTTTTGTTCGTAAACTCCTCTTGGAATTCGCGTTCAACACATTGCCGCTTATTAGGCGCTGAAAAATTACAATTTTTTTTCCTTAATTTTATTTCATATATCTTAATTTTAAATTTATTTTACCATTTTTTATAAATATTTCAAACAATATTTAAAAAAAAAAAAATAGATTGACATTTTTTGTGTTCAAATATTTTCGACATTTTTTTTTAAATGACATTTTAATTTTTTTCACTTTTTTGCTGATTAGAATTTTTTAATTTATAATTTGTAAATAACAATAATAATTTATAAAACTAAAAACATTAATTTTTCACATAAAATATATATATATGTTATAAAATTTTATGTAAATGTCATGCGCCATAGAGAAAACTTACATTAAAGGCAAAATATTACAGGTTATGTTTGTCAATTTGGGATTGAAAATGTTGAAGTCTTCATTGAATATGAAAAATATAAATTAAAAATTGATTATGATTTTACATAATTAATGGAGATTTTAAAAAAAATTTTCGCATATTTGAAATATTTTGTCCATGTACAATTTCAAATAGCTTGGATGCGCGCGCATCCGCAAGAATTGTCATTTTGTAGGACGAATTTAAACATTTTAGTTACTAATTACTTATTAAACAAGTATTAAATGATTAATTAATCATTAATTACCAATTAGAATTAATTAATTTCAGAGAATTAATCGCGACAATTCAAAAGCAAATTCATATTTAAATTCAAAATTGCTTCTGCTAGCATGCGCGTGCATCAGCAAGAATTGTCTTATTTTGTAGGATGAATTTAATTATTTTAGTTACTAATTACTTACTAAATAAGTATTAAAACATTAATTAATCATTAATTACCATTTAAAATTAATTCATTTCGAAAATAATTCGAGACAGAACAGAAGCACGTCCATCCAAGTCCACGTACAATTTCAAATGGCTTGTTCTTGGATGCGCGCGCATGCCCAAGAATTGTCGTGTCTGAAAAAATAAAATTAATTATTTTTGTTACTAATAACTTATCAAATAAGTATTATATGATTAATTAATCATTAATTATCAATTAAAATTAATTATTTTTAGAAAATAAATCACGACTATTCAAAAGCAAGTTCATGTACAAATTCAAAATTGCTTCTGCTAGGATGCGCGCGCATCGGCAAGAATTGTCGTATTTTGTTGGATGAATTTAATTATTTTAGTTACTAATAACTTAATAAATAAGTATAAAATGATTAATTTATCACTAATTACCAATTAAAATTAATTAATTTCGATAATAAATTGCGACAGAACAGAAGCACGTCCATCCAAGTCCATGTACAATTTCAAATAGCTTGTACTTTGATGCGCGCGCAGCTGCATGAATTGTCGTGTCTAAAAATGAAATTAATTGTTTTAGTTACTAATAACTTATCAAATAAGTATGAAACGATTAATTAATCATTAATTACCCATTAAAATTAATTATTTTTAGAAAATAGATCGCGACAATTCAGAAGCAACTTCATGTACAAATTCAAAATTGCTTCTGCTTAGATGCGCGCGCATTGGACAAAATTGGGAAGTTCATCAGAAATTGATTTGATTGGTTCGAAATGAGCGCGCTTGTTTAAAATGGTAATCCCGCTCATTTCGACCAATGGCAATAATACACTTGCTCGACGCTTCCGTTTCCGGTTAACTCCACTGTATTGTTTACTCTGACTAAACATAACCTAAGTTTTTTTACCTGTAAAGTACGTTTTCTCGTAACGCGTTGAATATATATTCTGAATTAAATATTTTGAAAAATTAATTGTGAGTGAATATAATTCACACTTTATTGGTTGGTTTTTTTCCATTATGTTGATATACTTTTAAAATGTGAGTGAAAGAGTAGTGTTTTTTGGCCCCTTTCTTCAGATAAAGATCGACCATGAGTGCAAGGTCTCGATTCGAATGGTCATTATTATTATGCAACGGGTGCAACTTACATAATATCGCACCCCAATTGAGAAAAAAAAAATATTCAAATGGTGCACATTAAAACGCACGTGCGTCCTCGACTTTTTAAATATATTTTCAACGACTAATGGAGTCACTTATAAAGTGATTTGAATAATTTAAGACCTTCATTTATATATAACGCATAAAAACATATTTTAATTTCTGGATAAAAATATTTACATCTATTTATCAGGTAATAAAAAATATTTAATTAATTTTTCAATTGGTTTATTTTAAAAAAGTTTATAATATTAATAATTAATATTTTTTTTTCCTTGACTAAACATTTATTTTTGAATATAAAATTATAATTAAAAAATAAATAATTATAATTATTATATAATTTGTAATTATTAATTTTAATATTTATTTGCATAATAATTTTTTTTTATTTTTATTATTTTTACGTAACACTTTTTATTTTATTTTAACTTTCACTTGAAAATAACTTTTCAACAGTAAAAAATGTTTTTGTTATGAGTATATTTATGATTTCAAAAGTTTTCCTCTCAATTCAATTATTATTGTTAAGTGTTTCTTTTTTTTCATTTTTTGTTAGAGATTCCGCAAAAATTGTTTAGTTTCACTAATTGCAAAATGACCCTAACTTAGAAAGTTTTGAAACAATGATCAATTAGAAAATTAGAAAGTTTGTTTTTTAATCTCTTTATATATACCTCTTGGAATTTTTCATGCGATAGTGATAATAAAAAATATACTGCATTCCTTGCATGCTGACAATAATTTGTGTGCTGATTTTTTTTTTCTTTCTCTTTTAATTATATCAATGTTCTCGAAAATGGAACGCAGAATTTAATAAACGAATTATTTAAATCTTATTAGAAATTTATAATAACCAAATAAAAATTACAGATTATTTTAGATAGCGAATTTTCTGGGAATACGTGTAAATAATAAAATTTCTTTTGGCATTTTTTCAGAAAAACATGTTTACTCTATTTGGTGAAAGAGAGAATAAGTTTTTGCAAATCAAGTTGAGTGTGTGTAAAACGTGAAAACGTTTTGAACCATTTAGAGAGAAGTCCACATCAGGATTCTCTCTTCTTTTGTCGATTCCTTCTCTCGAGGACCGCATTGTTTCGTCTTTCAGAATAACCCGCATATAGTTGAGGATTTACAATTTATTCCTGCGGTTAAATACACAATATATACAGGCAAAAAACCAGCATTTTAATGCAACGGTTTTATTCTTCATATAAATAATATATTCTTTACACAATATTTTTCTAATATCTCGTATAAATATTATATCTATTACAAAATCACGAGAATATTAAAATAAAAATAGCAAATTTATTATTTTTGTAACAAAAGTTACTAGTAGTTTCAAACACTAGTTGTTACTATTCCAACCGTTGACAAGAAAAAAAATATTTCTTTTACATCTTTTGGAGCACGTGTTGACAAATTTTTTTTTTAAAAGAATTTTTCTTTTTTTGTTAGGACAACAATCATCACTCTTATAACCCCTCGTTTATACAATGAAAATTATCGATCATTTCGTTTTCTCAAAAGTTTATTATTGCATGCGAAAATCTATATAATATGGACTCTTGAATGATCAATGATCTTCTTCTAGAAAATTATTGACTTTTCAAAATGAAAAAAATGAGAAATGGTTCTTTTTTGAAATTATATTTATATACACAAACAGGTTAAATGTATCATATCGTCTTTTCCTTTGGGAAAAGTTTCTCTCCCTTATACAACTATGAAAAGTGTTTTCTCAATATTCTCCATTGGACCCCATACTACTCACCTATACATAGAAAAAAAAAAGATGACACACCTTGAAATTGAAACCGTTTGCAGGATTCATATACAAACTTTTCAGGTTTTTGTATTTATTTTTCTTATTGTTTTTTCTGCCATTTCCTCCTTTTTGCCTTTTTTTAAATATAGTTTTTTTTATATTAAAAAATTCATGACTAATAAAAAATTTTTTTTCAGATACCTCGTATGAAAAGGCTTGCAGAAGAGGAAGTGCACCAGCCACTCCTGTCTTGGGTGCAAGGCCCCTTGATGTCACCCCCAATCGAATTGTCGTAAGTGCCACTTCATTTTTTTTCTTACTCCAAAAAAAGAAAAAAAATATCGATAAAAATTTTCAAGAATTGTTTTCCTCTCCCTAATGATAGACACAAAACACATTGATTTCCTTTTAGTATATTATTATTATCATATACTGATTTTCTGTCAGTTTCATTTTCCCTGAATTTTCAGATTATTCACCCCGTGGAGAAATTAATATTTAAATGTCTATCATTTTAATCTAATATATAGAGTTATTTATAAAATGAGTGACAAAGGATATTAAGATTTCTCCCCCAAAAAAACAATATCTAGAAAATTTTTATTTATATATTTTTAATTTTATTACATTTATTTATATATCCTTATTTATATTATACCTATCAATCAGTTTTATTTCATTTTTTTTTTCTATATAATTTATCAATTTTTCTAAAATTTATTCTTATGTTAATTATTAATCTAAATTTAATAGTGTTGACAAAAAAAAAAATTCTGTCAATTTTGAAAACCAAAATATGACGAATTGAAGTTTTTAAATAATAAAAAAAAATGAAAAAATCTGAGATGAATCCTAAAAGGGCAGACGTTGCGAACAAAAGAGGGATGAGAGAAAGATAATGATCGATGCGAGAGAGAGAGAGAGACTTGAAACGACAAAACTAGTTTCACGTAAATTTAAAAGGAGGGATCCGAACCCTAGAAACTCGACTGATTTTTATAGATTGTCTTATCACGTATATATTTTGCATATAAACGTTTGAGTAAAGACTGAAAAATTACACAATATTTTTCTCAGGTCACCCTTCTTAAAAGGAGTTTTCATTCTCCCCCTTTTTCTCAACCACCCCTCAAAAAAAAATTTATCAGGTTTTTTTTGTCTCTTTCTATATACGTTAAAAATTAAAATTTTTTATAAAATTAAAAAAAATATAAAATAATTAAAATAAATTTACATTAGAATTTAACATTTCTTTTTTCCTTTTTTTAAAAATTTTTCCAAAAAAACTGAAATAATCTACTGATTAACTGTTTCCACTCTCCCCTATATTATTTTGACAAAATAATATTCGGAACGACTTTGAATTGCCCCGTAAAATACAATAATGTACCAAAAGTGTCATAAAAGATATCATTTTGAGAGGCATATATATTTCCCTTGACGATTTTGAAGGTGTGAGGAGAAAATAAGTGTGGACCCTTATAAGAAAATATATTGTGAATCTATAAGAGGGGACTATTTGGCGATTTTTTTTTCTTTTTTAAAAAATAAAATATTGCACTGGTTCTATTATTGGTATAATTTAACCATTGAATTATATCTCTCGTATTAATATAACTTGATAGGTCAATGGACCCGTTGATTCTGACTCTGAAATGAAACAGGGTCGAAGGGCATCTCTCTCGCGCGGGCGATCGGTTAATTACCAGGAATATAGCGAACGACTAATTGATTTAGTCCCGCCAATTTTACATATATGTATATATAGCCAAAGAGAGAAAGAGCTCATCGGTTTCCCGTCACTTTCAAATTAATTAACACTGTAAAGCAGAGAGATAGACACAAATTTTCTTTTTTTTCTTTTTCATTTTTCTGTCAATTGTTTTCAATCATTTATCAATTATAATTAAATTGAATATTAGAAAAATAAATATATAAAATTTATTCATTTACATTAATATAATATGTAAAAAAAAATATAAAATAAAATCATATTTAAGTCAAATAGAAAATCTAATAATTTTTTTTTTTTTTAATAGAACAAAAAAAAGAATGAAACAAAAGAAAAAAAAAGGCAAAGAAAATAAAATTTTTTTGCTGATAATAAATAAATAGAAATGTACATTTTTTTGCGGGTGAAATTCGTTTTTTTTTTTTTAAATTTGAATGGCCGCTATATATTCTCTCTATGAATGGTATATCAAAGGCACCGGAAATGTTACCTGTCATTATATTTCCGTTTTGAACAAAAATCGTCCTTGCATTCCTTTTCTTGACTTTACCGCTTTAGGATTTCTATTTGGTGGTCGAAGCACGAATCCAAATTTTCAACTTCTTCTCACGTTTCATTTCATCTAATATATAACGCGACGTAACTTTTCAAAGATTTTTTTTTTTTTTCTTAAAGAGAGAATCTATTCTTTCAACCGGAAGTTATAGTCTGACAAGTTCTTTTTCTTTTTTTTTTACTATTATTATTTTAGGAATAATAATTCTACGAATAAATAATGTTTAAAAATTAATTAAAGTGGAATTTAAAAAATTCTAGTTATTTTATTTAAAAATTGAAAAATATCTAACTTTTTTGATTATTTGTCCCATTCTTTCTTATATATATGTATATAAGTTATATAATAAGCGCGCGTGACAAATATTGTCAAAAGAATATAATATAAATTGCGGTTAATTCAAGGACCTCGATTTTTCAAAAGATTGAATGGAAGCCAAGAAAATATCGATCGAGTTTCTCAAACTCGACAGTTGCTCTCATTTCTCATTCTTCAAAAGTATTCCTCTAACATATGTATAAGGAAAGGGTATTTTTTTTCTATTCAATTTTTCTATGAGTCGTTTCAAGTCCTTTCCCTTCTTTAAAAACTTACAATTTCTTTTTAAAATCTTTTACTTTTATTTTAACTGTCTGACCAATTTTTTACTTAATGTTAGTTAAAATAAATAATTACATTTAATTAGCAGTAATTCAATTTTTGGAAAAATCGAATAAAAATAAAAAATCAAGATTTGACGGGAATTAAAATTCTTTAGCTCTTAAATTATAAATTTTAGAATTTTAGAATTAAAATAAATTAAATTTTATAAAATCATGAAGTTCATGGTTAGATATTGTGTCTGCGCAAAGTTGCATTGCACGTGTTTCTTGGTGCATAATGCAAGTTCATAACGGGCTTGCTAGTAGACAGTTGTCACAGGGCCTCGATCGAAACCAGTTCGCTCCTTTCTTTTGTTTTTTTCATATTTTTTTTATTCTTATATTCTGGTTACTTGTCTGGAAGAAGCGAGAGAGAGATCCAGGACAAGGAATCCGGATTTGTTCATGTTGTTGTTTTTTAAAGAGATAATTAGAATTCGGAAACTCTCAGGACAACCATTATATGGTTAAAAAAAGGGATAAACATGTGTTTTTCACCACGTCTAATTAAAACTAATTTCATGTTTTAGAAAAATTTTATTTCAATCCATAATTTTTTTTCCACAGAAATTTACTCATTTTATAGTTCTAATAACAAAAAAATTTTTAAAAAAAAGTCTCTTTAATCGGTATCCATATCTAATTTGCATGTTAATTTGCATTTTAATTGAAGTTCCTTTTAATGGAGATTGGAAAAATTTCAAATTCATGGCCATTACATTTTCGTATTCATTGTTTGTTTTTTCCATGATTGATTTTTATTTTGAATCGAAAAACTACACTAACATTTAACATTCGTAATTTACTATTTTAAAAATAGGAATTAATTTAAATTTTATTAACGATTCGGTCAAACAATCGGAACAAAAGTTAATCCAACTGCATATTTTCGAAATTTTTAATAATGTCTATCCAATTCTTTCTTAATTTAATAATAAAAAAAAAAAAAAATTCGGAATAATTTCTAAAAATTAAAAGGAAATAATTTTATTTTTAAATCAAATAGAAATATCCATTTAATTTCATCACTTTCATTGTGAAAATATAATTTTATTTTTCCGGAAAAATACCGGTTATTTTTTTTATTTGGTGAATGAACACAAATCTTTTTGAAAAATGTTACGTTAAAATCTTTTGAGGATAATAATCTGAACACGCGTGTACCCTTGAATAAATACACGTTTTACGTTTTGAGAACCCCTCGAAGACGTTTTTATAATATATATAAGTATATAAATGGGGACCCCGGCAACGTCGTCAGTGGTTGGTCCTTGGAGAAGGGGGGCAACTCTCACCTGAATATTTTGTAAGGGCAGAATTTTTCGGTAGCACAAAAGGTGGCGCGCCCTGAGTTCCCCCCTTCGCAGGATCCCTTGACTTCACTACCCGGATGAGCAGCGGAAACCATCTGCATCAGTCGTCCACGAGATTTTGCCGGGTACACACATATTATATATTTATATATAGTGCGGTTCTTTTTTTTTACTTCAGTTTTAAAATGTAACCGTTTAAACATAATTTTAATATATTTTTTTAAAATTGTTATCAAAGTGTTATTAATTGCAAATTATATTTATAATTAATATAATCAACTGTATATAATTATATATTGTGTTAAATTGATTAAATAGATAAATAAAACTTAGCAAACAATATAAAAAATATAATTAACAATATTAAACAAAATTATAAAAATTTATAAACCGAGAATTGTATTTAAAAAAAAACATTAAAAAATAAATTAAATTTTAAAATAAAATTAAAAAAAAACTTTTTAAATATAACATAAACCAAATTAAATCCATGATAAACCAAATTAAAAAATAACGTTAACCAAATTTTATAGATAATAAATAATATTAATAATAATATTAATCAAATTTTATTTTAAAAAAATATTACAAAAAATAATAATTGTGTATAACAAAAATTTGAAGCAGTTCGGTTGTGATTAATTTGAAAAAAAAAGAATTGATAGAATAATAAATTGTGGAAAAGTGAGGATAATTTTTGTTGACAAAACGGAAAATTGTTTTCGGTTATAAGTTACAGGAAAAAAAAATTTTTTTTTCCATCAGTTCTGCATGACAAAGCAAACACACGTCATGTGTCTTTTGTGAAACGAAAACTTGTGTGCGTGTATGTGTGATATGCAACATAAAAACCGGAAGTGAGGTGTGTCCAACGACTCTTCAGGATTTTTAAACAGTTATTCAAAAAAAAAAATTACCCTTTAAAAAATAATATAGTTGAAGTAATAACTCCACATTTACAGTGAACAAACAGGAATTAAACGATTTTTCTCAATAAGCTTATGGATTTTTTCCCCCTTTGAATTAAAAAGAAAAAAAAATTTTTGGTGAATAAAAGTGATTTTTATTGACAATTAATTTAATTATTTTTTTTAAGAATTTAATAAAAATTAATTTCATGTTAAAATTAATATTGTGCCCGTCAAATTTAATTTGTGCTCTTTTCCCTCTAAATGAGGGGGAAGAGAATGTGTCTAAAGGAAATGGAAGAGGATGAAGATGAAAAAGTCGTTAGCGCTATTCTTAATTATTTTACCACAAGGGTAAATAATTATATTAAATACTTAAATTAAAATTCATATTTTTTAAATTTAATATTTATAATCAAATATTATTTACTTGGTATAGTGAAAATTTTCATAAATGAAAATTTCCTCTAATAGCTTTCATTTTAGAAAGTTGGAATAAATTCCCTGGATTATAAAATTAAAAGAAATTATTCTAATAAACTAAAAATAAAAAAAAATCTAAAGTGAAAACATTGCAAATTAATTCGTATAAATCGTGGTTAAAAAAAAATTGCATTTGTTTAATTTGTAAATTCGAAAATAAACTTGACATTTTTTTCAAGGTCGTGAAAAACTTTTACGCGCTTGACTCCACTTTCACGCTTGCGACTTATGTGCATTAAAAAAAAAAAACGTTATAAACGAAAGTCCCACCAATGCCATTTTGTCGACAAAAAAACCTTTCACTTGCAATATGTAATTGAAAATAATTCTCAAATTCCCGCGCGTTCAGTCGAGTATCATCTTTGCCCTTGGGTAAAAGCGCGAAAAATCCGCGATTCCAAACATAATAAAAATTTACAAAATATTTTGTTATTTGCCAATAATCAATAAACTTTGTAAAATTTCTGATTATTTATTTATTATATTTAATTATTTATTATTTGTTTATTTTTTAATTATTTTTTTTTATTTATATACTTATTAAACAGAAGAATGAAATTTTTTTTCTTTTTGCAGAATTTCTTCTCGAAAAGGTCGTTCCGATCAAATCCATTGAAGAGGACAAAAAGTGTGACAAAATTGGAGAGGCAAAAACAACGTGGTGCTGGACTACGTGGTTGTCGATCGCACGAATCACTTCTATGCGGTCAGGCGGTGACCTCGATGGACCTCGCCGCGGTCACTCCGTTGCATCCAAGTCTTCTTGGACGACCTCATTGTTTCCAGGTCACACCCAGCAATGGTGGACCAAAATATTTCAGCTGCAGGACTGCCCACGAGCGAGATCAGTGGCTTCAAAGGTCAGAAAAAAACATTATTTTCTCAAAATTTTACTCAACATTGAAATCTTAATTTACGATTTAAGAAATAAAATTCGATCAAAAACAAATTTTGTATTATTTTTTATTATTAATATTATTAGCATTTTATTTATTATATTTAAAAAAATTAATTTTTTTATTAAAAAATAGTAATTACTTTTATTTATTTATTTTTATAAATTATTAAATTAAATGTTTGTTTTCAGTTTACGAAAATCGGTACAACCGGATGCTGAGCAAACTCGTCGCACGGATAATTCTTTGCAAATTTGGCTTCTCGAGGCAAAAGGCGTACCGGCAAAAAAACGATATTTCTGTGAAGTTTGTTTAGACAGTACATTGTACGCAAGGACAACTGCAAAATTAAAAGCAGATCTTTGCTTTTGGGGCGAGCACTTTGATTTTCATCACCTGCCATCCGTTAACACCATCCAGGTGAATCTTTACCGTGAAGCCGATAGAAAAAAGAAGAGGGATAAGAACGTGTTGATCGGTAAGGGAAAAAAAATCACGCCCTACCCCCCTCCTTTTATAAAATATGATCCCATAAATTAAATTTCTCAAGTGCAAAGAAACAATTCAATTAGTTGCTTTTCTTTACCTTTTCTTATTTTTCTTTTTCAATTTTCTCTCAATTTAAAAATTTAATTTTTCTTTTCAATTTTTTCATAATTTTCAAATTCATTTTTCTAAATTAAAAATATTTATCATGATTTTTTTTTCTCTCTCTCTAGGATCAGTGAGCATTCCAGTTCACAATGTGACATCTCGATATCTCACGGAAAAATGGTATACAGTCGTCGGCGAGAAGGGGCCACTAAAAGAGCCACCGGCACTTCGTGTCAAATGTCGCTTTCAATCGGTTGACATTTTACCGGTTCAGGTTTACCAAGAATTTCTCGAGTATCTCAAGACTGATTACGCGTCACTTTGCGAAAAATTGGAGCCAGTGATTGGCGTCAAGGCCAAGGAGGACATTGCCACCGCTTTGGTTGCTGTCATGCAACGTGAAAAGAAGGCTCCCCAGTTTCTTGCTGATCTTGTCATGATGGACATTCACAGAATAGGTAAAAGTCAGGAAAAAAAAATTAGTTTTCTAATTGTAAAATTAAAAATCAGAATGTAACAAAATATTAGAATTTAGTCTCATAAACTTTGTGTACTTTTACAGACGACGAGAGGTTAACCTTCAGGGGTAATTCATTGGCGACGAAAGCAATGGAGGCTTATTTAAAATTGACGGGTGATCGTTATCTTCAAGAGACCTTGGGGGCAGTGGTGCGTGGCGCCGTTGAAGGTGGTGATTGCGAAGTGGATCCAATGAAGGTCGCCTCGGTAGCTGCACTTCACAAACAACAGCAAAATCTTCGCGCTGCCGTTGAACTCGCCTGGAATCGAATACTCACAAGTCATGCTCATTTTCCCCTTGAATTACGTGAATGTTTTCGAATATTTCGCGAAAGATTGGCTGAAATGGGTCGCGAGGATATTGCCGATAATCTTATTTCCGCTTCAATTTTCCTACGATTCCTCTGTCCCGCTATTCTCAGTCCGTCTCTCTTCAATATTACTCACGGTGAGTTTTAAAACCATTCTTCTTTTTCTCATCAAATATATATAAAAAAAAATACAAAATTTTCGTTCAATATATAATTTTCTTTTTATTATTTTAAAAAGTCGAATCCGAAATTTTTTCGAGACAATAAAAAAGTTTTGAGCAATGAATTTATTTTCTGTCGATTTTTTTCAGAATATCCGAACGAGAAGGCGGCGAGGAATTTAACGCTGGTCGCAAAGACTTTACAAACTCTTGCCAATTTCACGAGATTCCAAGGCAAGGAGAACTTTATGGAATTTATGAACGATCTTCTGGAACGAGAAGCGCCTTCGATGAAAGACTTCCTGCAACTTATCAGCGTGAGTAAAACAAAAAATTGAATTCCGTTTCTAAGATAAAAGAAAAGAAAGTAATTTGCAATTGAAAACAATTTCTTTTACAGAGTCCCTTGTCGAAAGAAACATCAGCGAACAATTCCCTGGAGTTTGACGGCTACATTGACCTTGGCAAACAACTTTCGCTACTTCATGCGCTTCTTCGAGAAAGTGTTGCCGCTACAACATCAACATCGCCCTCATCGCCTCCATCACGATTACCAGAAATTTTAGATAAAATATCATCAGCGTTGGATCAACCTGGACCAAGTCCAATATCAACTCTTCATCGTTATCCAAATCTTCAAAACAACATTTTTCGTTTCAACGATCCAACAATTTCAAATAGCAATTCAAATCTTTCAATTTCGGCCACATCAACGTTGAGCAATCATAGTACATTAAATGGGACAATACGCGACAGTAGCGAAGTATTACAGACAAATACACTCGGTCATAATAATACAAGAAGTCCAAATGTTGTACGTGCCGCAACTCTACCACGTAATGCCTATTTACCAACGAATGGTAAACTGCAATTACAAATCAACACTGATGATTATCCCCTCGAACCACCGGCATTTGTATCCAGATCACCAACACCAATTGTTCGACAACATAGGCCAGTGATAAATAATCGTACCGGCGTTGGCTATCGATTAACAGCAAGTGCAAGTCTTGCTAATGTAAATCACTGCCAACAACATCCAACAAGTCCCACACGATCCGAAAGTCATAGCAATCTCAAGGATTCAAATTATAATATAACAAACGTTCCACACATTAGGCATAATAATATAACAAGGTTACAGAATCTCGACATTCACGATAGAACCGAAGATAATTATAATCATAATTATAATAATATGTCCACAAAATCGACAATAGTAAATCGAAATCATTTTCACAAGGAAGAAAATGCAAATCAAACCCAACAGCAAAATTACAATAATGTTTCTAAAACAACAGTTAATGCAAATCCAAATCTCACACTATCGATTAATCAACCGAATAATAATTATCATAATTCAAAAACAAATGCAACAAATGGAAATCTCGATGATTTGTCTGATTTGTTAAGATACGCGGATGATGAAGTATCAGAATCAAAATCACAAAAAGGATCACAAATCTCAATTTCACAATTGAGTAACGTTGCATCGTCGGGCTATCAAAGTTTCGCTGCCTATAGTCAAAGTTCAAGCCCCGTGGAATTGAGTAGTAATAATGCGAATGCTCATATTATAAGCGCTGCGCCACTTGCTTTTGCAAATCCTGTTTATCATATGGAATCGAGTCATACGCGTTCAGGCCGACGTGGTAGTAGCAGTTCAGAGGAGAGAGAAAGAGGTGTTGGTATTGAGGCTGTTCGTGGTGTTGATCTCAGTCCATCGCCACCACCACAGCAAAATGTAAGGAATGTTATACAGAGAAATGGACAAAATCAATGGCGACAAAATAATACAGGACATCGTACGAATGTTGAACAATCGCAAAATGTTTGTTGTACAAAATTACGACGACGTTTGTCACTTGATTCGACGAGAGATTTATCTGATACCAGCGAGGAAGAGAATTGCGCCACAAGAAGAAGTAAATCACGCAGTCATCGAAGTATCGATCAGGTAGATAAGGTTAGATCCTAACGATAAAAAAAGATGCACATATTCAAATTCTATTTGTCAAAATTTCAATTATGTAAAATTTTTCCAAATAATATTTGAGTTGTGCACCTAATTAGAAATCTAGAATCAAAATTCCTCTGTAAATATATTTTGATTCTTTATTTTTGTTATTAATTTTTATTATTTATTTTCTAATTTTTCTTTTATTTTTTCGACTATTTTCCTCTCGAATTTTTCGGTTAAAATTTTTTTTTCTTCTCGAGCAACAATTATCATTTGTCAATAACAAAACTAAAAAATGACGCGATTAATAACAAAAAAAAACAATCATTTGTTCATAATCTAATTTAATTTTTTGTAACTAACAAAAAATTCATTTCAGTACGAGGTGGAAATTGAAAGGCTACAGAGCAATGTGGATCGTTTGAGAGCGCGATTAGCAGCAACTGATGATACGGAATTAGATGGCATTGGACCGGATACAAAAATGAAGAGCATCATCTCCAGGTATATCATCATCATCATCATGATCATTATTCTCTATCTCTCGCAATTGCGCTAGTTTATTCAAAATAATCTTTTGCCTGAATGTCATCATCAGCCGCGCGGATCAGAATCGTTTCTCTTATGTTTTTTTTCAATCATATGCGGGGTTTTTTTAATTTCTCTTTTCATTCTCTCTCCCCCCGATGATAATATTGTGTGTGTATTATTTTTTTACTTGATCATTTTTGCTCCAATTCTAATAGGACTCGTCATCATCGAGGAGTTTTGAATTCTGCTGTGATAAAATTCCTGATATTCATTTTAGTTTCGTGTGTAGTTGCAAAATCAATGATTTACTTCGAATCAATGATTTTTTTTGGAGGAAGTTTAATTTTGCAATGAATTTTTAAAATATTCAATATTGTAAATCATGTAAAAAAAAATTAAGAATTTAGTAATGAAAATCAATTTAATTGTTTAACTATCACAAAGAAACGATTTTTTTATGAAAACATTTAATCAAGTGAATTTTCTAATTAATAAGGAGAATTAAAGAAAAGTTTTTCGATATTATTTTATATTCAATTTAATAGTTTATTTTTAAGATTAATTATCAATATTGCGTGGAATTGTTAATTATTTTGTACGTTATTTGGAATTTAATTTTTCATGTATAATTTAGCATTTAATTTTTGCATATATACAATTTAGAATATTTAATTAAACAATATTCAAATTTTTATTTTATAAGTTTAATTTTAATTTAAAATTTAATTTTATAATTTAAAATTTTCATTTTCATTTGTAATTTTAATATTAATTTTTAAAATTTTAATTTTGTTTTGTAATTTAATTTTAAGTTAATAATTGTTAATTCTCGATTTTGTAATAATTTGAAACAGAAAATACACGTTGATAATATTTTCAAAAGTATAAATTATTATTTAAATAATAGAAAAATTTTCATTGTGATATTGAAATGGTAGAAATTTCTTTTTATAGTAAATTAGTTTTCTGAAACTATTTTCTCTCTTTCTCTCTATTTTATTTTATTTAATTACTATTTTTTTTCTTTTTTTTTTTTTTTAATAAATCAAAGTCCTAAATCTAATATGTATGTTTAATTGATTGTGTGTTCCTGTGCATTCTTTCCGCTGCTTGATCTGGATTTTGGTGTAAGAGTCAATTATATTTCTAAGCTTTTTTCTACGTACACGACTTTTTAGCCGTTGATTTTTTCAATTTCCACCGTATCGCTTGATTTTCAAAAAAAAGAAAATTAAAAAAAAAGAAGAAACGATCTGGTACTCATCGCTTCTGACAATTGGATTCATCATTCTTTGTCGCTAATTTATTATATATTCACGCTCTCAACACGCTTTTATATACATTTTACTGTTAAGATTTTCGTTACAAATATTCACGAAATTCTACTTATAAACACAAAAAAATAGAAACAAAAATAATTTTGCACAAAATACGCTACAGCTTTATTTTAGTTGCTCTTCATATTCTTCCCCGGCTGTAAAAAAGATGAAGCTAAATTTTGCAACCTTTGAAAAATGGAAATAAAATTTATTTCCCAATTTTTTTTTTTTTTTTTATAAATTTTTTGCTAAATTTTCAGCTTCATTTTGAAAAAAAAATTTCGTTTTCGCTTAAAACCTTTTAAATCAGTTTTTTGCGAAAATTTGCAAAAGTGACAGAGATTTTTCTTTTTTGCAAATTTAAAAAATATATTTTTTGAATAATTAACTAAAAAAAGTATTTTTTTTTCTGGTAATTAGGTTAATCTCTGTGGAGGAGGAACTTCGTCGCGAGCAACAAAAGATGTCGGCGGCATTGTCGTACAAGCAGCGCGTGATCGACGCGCAGGAACAGCAAATAGCTGCCCTGGATGCGGCAAACAATCGCCTTATGTCGTCGAATACAAGACTGTTGTCCGCATTAACATCACTTAAACAACGCTACAATACCAAGGCACAGCCCAATAATGAAGCAGCATCATTACTTCAAAATATTGCCGACATTGGTGAACTCAAAAGTTCTTCTTGTTAAATTTTCATCATTTGAGTTATGAGCACTATAACCAAGCTGATGAAGAAGAGAAAAAAAAGAAGATTTTCTTCAAGATAGAACTCAATTCTTGTAGAATTTTTTTTCCTTACTCGTATATAATTGGAGAACGATATTTTTTCTCTAAGCTTTTTTTTCTTGTAAATTATGTTAAAAACACGTTTGTTAATTAGGTTTATAGAACCTAGAAAATTAGAGAACATATGTTCTTTCGTTCTGGGAATGATTTTAGGAAAAAAGTCTCATTTTTTTTAAAATGATTATTTATTTTAATCAGAAGAATTTTTTTTTTCAAATTCGTTTCGATAACGATTTTTTTTATTTGGAAAATTTGTTTTTAAATTTTTCCGTTTCGAGGGAAAAGGGTTTTTTAAATTTGAGATTGAGACAAACTTGTCGATGTTGGAAATTCATTATTTGTTATCGAATTTCATTTATTTTGTTTTTATTTTCTTTGTACGTCGACATATGATATTTAGAGGCTACCTGTGAATTGTAAACAAGAAATTAAAAAAAAATAGGTAGAAACGATTTTTGTCAATTAGTGTTAAGATACGACTTTTCGAGAATTTTGACCGCCCTTTATAGTGACAATTTTTATCGAGGATCGTTTATCTCGCGAATGAGATGAAAAAACGATTTACAATAAATACAAAAAATTGCCTTTAAATTCTTTTTCAAGTAACATTTTTTTTCTTTATTATAATTTTTTTTTGGTAAATTTTTGATAAAAAAGAAAGGCTTTTTGCAAAGGAATTTAAAAAAAAAATGTCCACCCCAAAAATTTGTATGGAGTCAAAGAAAAATGTTTTGTATATACTTAGCATCATAACGCACAATTATTGTACGACACAATATATTTAAAATAAGCCGTTGAATCTCCGTATATATATAAACTTGTAACTTAATACTCAGAGAATTTTTTTCCATGTATTTAGCGAAGCTCTTTTGTTTTTCAAAGAGAGTTCTAAAGCGAAATTTTAAAGAAAGAAAATTCAGAGCTTCGGGACTAAAAAGAAAATAATTGTCTCGATCAAAGCAAATATACTTTAAATGCGATAAAATATTTATTTCGTAGTTGTTACCAAAGATAAAAAAAGAAAATTCTTTCTGTAAATTTAGTAAAATTTTTTTTTCTTTTGATAAATTTAACAAATTTGTAAAATTTTGGAGTAAATTGTCTATTCGCAATTTACAAAATTATATAATTCTATAAATTTTGTAAAATTGATCAAAAATTTATATTCAATTTTTTCATAAATTCAGCGAATTTGTAGAAAAAAAACAAATTTACACGCAAATTTTGGTAAATTTAGCAAAAAGGTAAAATTTACTAAATTTACTATAATAGAATTGTATAAAGAAAAACACACAAATGTCGTGTAAGATATTTCACACTGCCTGTGTCATTTTTCAAATTTCATTTCCGAATTTTGATAATTTTTAGAAACTTTTTCTCAGGAATTCTTTCATTTGTATTATTTAAGAAAAAACAAAAATTTCTAAGAAGAAATTTTTTTTAACGAAAGAATTCTTGAAATAAAGTTTCTTTCATACATTTATACGCAAAATTTCTCATTGTCATTGCTTATTATCGGGGTGTTTTTTTTACAAAAAAAAAAACACAAATTCTTCAATTTCCGGCAAAAAAAAAGTTTATTTTTTTTGCTGGACACAGTGCGTACCGCATGACAATTATTAATTATATATAGCGTTTCATTGCTGTTTTCTGTTTCTTTAAACTGCAGCAAAATTGTTATAAGTTTTTTTTTTTTTTTTTTTTTTTTTTTTTTTTTTTTTATATAGGATATAAGACGTGAATCTCGCAAGTGTCTGTGAGTGTTTGTGTCGAATAAATGAGGGGACAAAAAGAAATGAAAAACGATGAGTAAATGATTTTTGTAGTGAGTGTAATATTCTCCCCTTTGGAAAAAAGTATTATCTTGACGACTTGTACAATAGGATGTGTTAAAAATTTCCTTGGGAAATTTTTATCGATAGTGTTTTTTTCTGTTACAGATTATTCTTGTATAGTAGAAAATATCCAAGTCCTCCCCCACCCCTTTTTTTGTACTTTTGCCACGCAATAATTCTTCTTTGTATCTGAATTTAAAATCAGATACGAAGTGCGTTATGAGAAAATTAATATATATAAATATATAAATAGTATATATTAACGCCACCAATCATCGGAAGATGTAATCGATTAAGATACAATATTCTATTTAAAAAGATCAATCAATAGTATGTACATTAATAAGTTTCCTATATTCTTTCTCTGTAATAGAAATCTTGTATTTAAGCGTATAGTAATTACTATATAGTTCATCATGAACAAATAAATATAATTACACAAAAACTTTGTTTTTATTTTTAAGTAATTTAAACATATAATCATAAATTGATTTTATTTAAAAAAATATATATTTTATATTCAATTAATTTAATACTATTTATTTGTTTTGAAAACAGATTTTTTAAGAAGAAAGAATATTTTAAACAGAAAAATATTTTTAGTGAAACATTTTTTTTTGCAAAGGTAATTATTCGTTGGATATCTTTTTAAATAGATATCAAATTTATTTATTTATAGTTTATTTTTCGAATTTTAAATCTTAAAAAAATAATTATTTATTTATAGTTATACTCCTTATGTTTTAATTTATAATTAAGATAAATAATAATTGATAAATTTAAATAAATACATTTATGTATTTTGAATTTCGCGGTCAGCTTCGACCGAAGCTCGACATGCGCAATGCATTCTGGTCCAATTTCATTTCACAAGAGTTTGCGTGCAGTGTTGTTTTAAGCTCTGTGATTTTGTGTTATTAATAATTATTTTCGTGTTAATAGTATACAAATTAGTAATTTCAGTGTTTCGTTACCGATTCCGAACAAGATTATCATAAATAAGGTATGAAACAATGTTTCTTTATGTCGCGAAAGTTGATAAAATCGTGGCGTGGAAAAGTGAGGTTAGGTTAATATCACATTTCATTGCCGCCTGTCGCCGGGTTTCAATTCGTCTAAAATCCCGGACTTTTGTTATTTATCGGTAATTTTAAACAAGTTTTTCTTGAGTTTGATCTATTAATTCATCATTGTTTAGAAAAAATTATAATGTAAATAGACAATAATTGCATTTGCACGTTTACAAAATTTTGTCAAAAAAACGTGTTTCATGAAAAAGTGTTCTTGTTAATTAGCTTATTTTTGTTTCGGTTCGTGAATAAGTGTAACATAATTTCCAATTTCGTCTATTTATTGCATTGTATACGAAAAATGATTTTATTTTGGAAATTTTTTCTCGCGCATTTTTTTCAAGGTCAGCGCCCTCAGCGCAATTTTTCCGTTAAATTGTAATCTCAATTTCGAATGTGATCGGTATTAGGCAAAGTTATCAGTAAAAAAGTGTTAATTATTTTTTTTGTGTTCACGTGGAAAATTGTGTATTTAAAATTCATTAGTGTCATCAGTTATTTAACATTTATATTATAGTAAATTAGTTTCTTTAGAAAATTTATTAGCGCCCTTTTTTAAAAGCATCAGCGCCATCTACCAGGAAGTTGTTGAAGTCAGTTGTGAATTAAATTTCTTTATGTTGGTAGCAATGCTTGATTTGAACTGAAATTTCTTTTTTTCCATCGGTGAATGAAAAACGGTTTTTTGAACAAAATTGTTTTTTTTTAGAGTAATTATTTAAACAAATAGAATAAAAAAATTTCTTTAAAGAGAAAATGTTAAATAGCTGTTGACTCTGAAAAAGTGAGATTATAATTTATGTTATTTACCGTATTTATAATTTATTTACATTAATCTGTAGTGACGGAATTAGTGTTGTTAAAAATGTATATTTTTAAATTTAATTATTTTCCTAATTTATCGTAAAAAAAGTGCCAGTGAAGTGTTGTACAATGAAGTTGGTGAAAAACAAAAGAGTTAAAACTACGGGGAGAAAGAGAAAAAAAAAGGTAATTGAATAATTGTACAATTTTTTTTTAGGTTAGAATATTTTTTTATTTTATTTTAATCTTCATTTCTAAAGGCATTGACATTTATTTATGATAATAAATCAGTGGCGTGAGATCGAAATTTTTTGTTTAAATTTTTTTTAATTATAAAATATAACGATAAATTATTATAATAGTTAAAATTAAAGAAAAAAAAAAAAATAGAATTTCAATGGGTTGGTGTAAATATTTTTTGTTTGATTACGAAATCTTTGCATGTATATTTGTCTGGGTTTGAAGAATCATTTGTACAGGCCTGCAATGTAACTGAGATTCTCCACGTGTCATCACTTGGTGCGATTGTATATAAAGTTCATGATGAAAAAAAGCAGGAGTCTCCGACCTTGATCGTAATTTCGCGGTCCTATTACTACTATCACGTGATAATGACATTCTGACCTTGATATCGAAGCTATTACATTTCTTTCCTCTGAGCACTTGCCTGGCAAGCTTCAATTGAACTGTCAGAGACAAAATCATATACATATATACTCCACTTGTTCAATTATCACACTTTTAGACCCAATTATAGCTTCTTTTATCAGTTCTACATTTTTAGAATTTCCCCTGAATTTTACTCTCTCAAATCAAAGAAGTAATTTTTTTTATAAATTTTATTATTATTATGAAATATTTTTTTTACTTGCTACAAATGACTTTATTTAGAAAATTTTATTAAAAATTTTTAACATACAATTAATAATTTAACGAAAATTAAATAAAAGTAAAAATAAACAAAAATCTGAATATAAAATTAGATAATCGTAAATAAATTAGAACATGCGAATTATTCGAGGCCACAAATGATTCTAGTCAAGGGTAAGAATGAATTGTTGGTATATATGCAAGTAGATTTTGTGTAGTAAGACTTAAGAAAGAGAACGCGCGATAAAGTATACGGGGAATGAGTGATAAGCCGAAATAAGATAGCGTCGCAACAGTCAACGATATCTCAAAGTCAATGTCCTATGAAGCACTGGTAGTATTTGAGATATATACATATACAAAAAAAAAACACATACACATATGTGGGGAAAAAAAGTCATTTAAGTCACTGTACTGTTTTATAAGCTTCGATCAAGTGCACGCACTTTCATCTTTCGTATCGGCAAAATTTTACAGCAATTAAATTCGGATAAAATTCTTGAATAGGGACGGTATAATGGTGTTTCTCGTTAATTTTTTATTGTTACAAAGAAAAAAGAATTTAATATCAAAATCTCCAACAAATTATAAACTATAATTTTTAATTGAATATTAATTCTAATTTATAAATAAGTAAATAAAAAATAAAATAAAAATTAAAATGTATAAAATACATATAAATTATTAAAAAGAGAAATGTAAAATTTTTCTATATTATTTTTAGGCGCAAATGATTGCGATAGCATTTTATTGTTATATAGAATAAGCGCGAGATAGTTTACCCGAGTCTTTACGCTGATTCATTATTGATGAGTGTAAAATCGTTTATATAGGAAATTTTTTATTGCAAATTGAGTTATATATGTATATGTGAGGGTTTGTCGTTAAATTGCAAATGTGTATGTATATGGATAAATGGCTTTGTCAAGGTTTCATCAAACATCAATATTGAAATAATAAATTAAGATAAGATAGGGATCTTTAAAAGTTTAGTGTATATGAGACTCAAGTTTGTCTGATTTTCTTTTTACCTTAGCTGATTAACGTTAGTTATCTGATAAAACAATGTACTTTGACAGAAGTGAGAGCGATATTGACATCAATTTTACCGTTATGTATATTTTTATTCTGGTTATACAGTTGTTAAAATTAAATAAGAATTATTATTTCCACTTTTTCATTCAAAATATAGGGAAATATATATAGATTACATGGAAATAATATAAATGAATATATAATTATTACATCTAATATACTTGAATTCATATTTAAAATAGTATCTGTAGAATTTATCTGTGACCTTAAAATATATGGAATATTTTTTCCTGAAAGTCAAATTCCACTAAAGTATTCAAAAATTCTTTCAAATAATTTATATATCTGAATGTAGAAAATTTTAGTACATAAAAGGATTTTTTTTACTTTGGGAAAAATCTCCTATAGTAATGGAAACTTAAGATGAGGCTGAAGTCCGCAATGTTTTTAAAAACGAAAAATTAAAATAGAATTATTTTTTTAAGTCAATTTATCTTTAATTTTGATTTTCACAAACTTTCAAGAAATTAATTGTTTTATATAAAAACCAGCAGCTCCCGAATAACTTTAATTTTAAATAATTAATATTGTTTTAAAAACGTTGCGGACTTCAGCATGATAACTTAAGAAAAAACTTACTAAAATCGATTTTTAATTTGTTTTTTTTAATTTTATTATGAAAATTAAACTGCTTTTGTAAGAAAATTTAAACTTAAAATTTACTAATAATGTCAAAAAAGCATTTCTTAAAAATTGTACAACTTAAAATCAGACTTCTTTTTATTTTAAAATAAGATTTTCTTTTTACAATGTAGAGTGATAAATTTTACTTTAAAAAAATTAAGCATATTAATAGCCTGTGAAAAAAATAAATAATTTTTTTTTTTTTAATTTCTCATTTCATGACCATAGAAGAACCAGGAAATAACAAATCTGACGGAGATAACTTCACGGACTTGAATTTGAAGGACAGGAAGGATGTGGACGAAGAAAAGCGGCCCCTGCACACTACCAATTAAGTAGTGTAACTCTTGACCTCCCGCAGAAGTGCGATTATTATGGAGGGATCTTCTTGAGTGGTCCAAAGAAGAAAGAAGAAGCGACGTGGGATTTGGGATTTTTTATCAAACGGTGAGTCGTGTTTTTTTTTTATTTAACATCTTATTCGTTTAGGAAATAATGTTTTCGATTTAAATTAAATTTTTTAAAACCAATCTTTACTTTGAGATTAGGTTTTAATTATTAAAAATTTGAAATCCGCGTATATGCAGCATCCCTGCACGTTCGATGTCTTTCTCATGTTACAAGGGCACACCAAGATTCCGACCGTGGACCATGGCTTGCCTTCCATAACTTATCGGATAGGTCATTACTGACCCTTTAAATTCCCCTTTCACACCCACCCCCCCCCCCGTCTTATATAGTCCCCCCCCCTTCTCGAAATTCTAATCTCGCTATTTCTCCTCCCTTCCTTTTTGTCAAAATAAGAGAAAGGAGAAGGGAGGTTTATCCTGAGAGTGTAGTGAATCAGGAAGAGGTTTTTGAGGGTACACTGTACCAGTGAACTCTCAAGGTGCGTTGTCAGATTTTCCCCTCTTTTCCCCTAACGTATAAGGGGGATGGAGGTTTCTTTTTCCCCTCCATTTTCTCACCCCTCAATTGCGCATCTGAAACGAACGATTCAGGGCAGGACTGTAGGGGAGTTACTATTAGAATTAGAGTGGGGGGTGTATAGCCTACCTCTCCGATATAGTGGGAGGGTGGGGAGAAACTGGCAATGGAGGAGAGCTCGACGACGGCACTGTGAGGGTCATTGACCTCAGCGACTCGTTGCCGGCTGTTAGAACGCGCTAAAGGTTTTTACCGTGGTGCTGCTGTAGCTGCTGCTGCTGCTGCTGTTGCCGTTGCTGCTCGTTGTTCCGCGTTGTTCATTCGCGTGCAACCTCGTGTGCGCGCAACGGCTTCTTTCCTTCACTCTCTCCTTCGTGCAAGGACGAAGGCCCATGGGCCTTACATTGCATTTGTAGTTTGTCAACTTCCATCGTGTGCTCTTGCCCCTATATAAAGTAACAGTAATTTGCCTCGTGTCGTTGACGTGTTTCTTTTTTTTGTTATTTTTTCTCTCTCTCTCTCTCTATCATTCTCTCTCTCTCTCTCTTTCTTCACATTCGTTAAATATACGAACGCATGTTCCGGCCGGTGTGACCTGTAACCCATCTCTATATACGTCATCAGTGAGACATTATCTTATTGACACCCTACTTTATTTCTAAAGGGGAGGAGAAATTTCTATTTGTTTTCACGGTAAATAAAAATTGTGATCTTCAGGTGATTTTTCATTAAAAAGTGCATTTGGAGAGAGGGAAAAATGAAGGAAGGAGATGCAGTGTTTTTGTTAATGACACTAGTGCAATCAGTGCTGTGAGAAAAAGTGAACCTGGATTATAAATATATATATATATATTAAATTAATGAAGAATATTGATGAGTAAATATTAAAACGTGAATGATAGAAGTATAATAGAATGATATAAGGAATAAAAAAAATATAGAATATAGTCTTCCCCCCCTTTGCTTTTAATTATATATATACAAATTTAGCAGCAACGCCTATACATTTAGAAAAATTTGTATTAAATATTTAATATTTTTATAATAATTTAATGATAATAGTTTAAAAATCAATGTAAAGACTTACTAAAGGTGTAGATGGAATAAAAAAAAAAGATAATTTAATACTTTCTATATAAAGCAAATATTCAAGTATTGAAATTTAATATACATTTATACTAAATTTAATGTAAAATGTATATTAAATTTAATAAAAATATTACATTTGTATCAAATAAAAAATATTAAATTTAATACAGATTTTTTTTTACATATATAGAAATTGTGACGAGCTTTGAAGAAAGGGATAAGCAAAAAAAATTATAGGTTATGTAAAATCAAAATCAGTTTTTTATGCAATATTTTGGATATATAATAAAGATTAATGTTTTGGTTGATCATTTTTTTTTTACTCCAAAACTATTATGAACATAACCTATAATTTTGTTTGCTTCTTGGGTCCCTTTCTTTTTCTTAAACTCCCTCTCTCTTTTTATTCTCTTTCATTTTGATAATCAGTCATTTTCATCTCCTTTCTGGTTATCTAAATAGAACTTGTTTGAATTTAAATACTTTCCAAATATATTGTATCAGGTTGAAATCTTTCACTTTCGATATAATATTTATAGAATTTTATTTGATTTTTTTAAATTTTATTTATCAACTAGTGTTTAATACAAAAAATTTACTTCCGTATTCTTATTATGTAAAATGAATTTTTTAATCTTATATTATTATAATTGTCTAGCAAAATTGTATAATTGATAAATTGATTCATAGATAGAGTAAGAAAACAAAATGGAATCTTTTGGAAATAGACGAAAATTTCTCCTCCTCCTTCTCCTTGTTTTTCACCTCTTCTTTAGCAAATTTATATAACGTCATTCATGTCAACAGTTACATTCCACTTGACTTGTTGAGACATTGATAAGAAATTGGAACTACAAAGTGTTTTCTAGACCAGTTATTGAAATAAAAATCTGACAGTTGGACAGAAAGAGAGGGCAAGTGGGTGTATGTGTGTGTGAATGTGTCGAACGGAAAGAGTGAGAAAACTTTGAGAGGAGATATAACCTACCCCACGTGCAGGGTCTATACCATTAATGAATGATGAGAATCAAGCTTATTCAAGTTTTAGACATTATTTTTTTTTTTTTGTCAAATATTATCACACTTTATTTGCAACTAGGATTATTATTATTATTATTTATTTTTGATAACTCCTGCATAACATTTTTTTTAATACAATCAAACATCAAAAAAAAAAACCTTATTGAATTATATTAATTGCTTTAAATCTCAATTAAAACGTAATCAAATAACTAACAAATTTCGTCTATTCATTTTTTCGATTTAATTTTTTTTTCATACTTTTTTCTTAATAACTCAAAAATAAAGTGATATTTATTATTACTGATAAGAAACTATTTAATTTACTTTTTTATCATACACATATAGAAATTATTATATTAACAGTCGCGAATAATTTGAGTTGTGACGATGATAATAAACACGCAGTATTTTTTAAGAAAGTTTCAAAATTTGTTTGCGATAAAAAATAACACACACATAAATAAAAAACTGAATCTTTAAATAAATTAAAAATTAAAAAAAAATAAATTTTAAATTAATTTTGAAAAAAATGTTTCTTTCAATTACAATTAATTTAATCCTATTATTGAATTTGCGAATTTAATTCGATTTAATTAAAACTTCTATTTAAAACTTGAATTTAATGAAAAAACTTTTAAATTTCATTCAACAAACTTTAGAATTTTCTAAATCGTCTTAACAAACTTGTAATATATATATAATTTAATTTCGAAACTTTTTTACAAATTCGTGTTTTCAAAATAAATTTGTATTTGTAATGAGATAAAAGTGATTTAAAAAAAAAATTAATTTAAAGATATTTTTTTTGGAGTGAATGAATTAGTTTGAATTTGTCCAGGAACGTGAAATTTTCTTATCTATATATAAATATATATTGAAGGACAGTGAACTTGAAGTGATACTACTTTTTTTTTTTATTTCCAAATCCGCGAAAAATTATATAGCGATCACGCGTTATCTGTATATACTTAAACCCCCGTCGCTCAAAAACAGTTGCTGTTGCTGATTCTTATTTGATATCTTTAAAATTCTTATCGATTATTCCATTTCTTTCGTATATACGACTTTATATTGACAATCGACGAAATTTTTATCATTTTCATCTATGAAACGGTACAACCTATATAATATAAAATCAGATTCTGCGCGCACGAGAATTCTATATGGATATATTAGATGAGAAGCCACGATGATCATTTCTCTTCTTGAAACATATTTTAATTTCATTCTATTTCAATTCCGATTTGAATCTATGTAAAGAAATCTGACCCCTCCCAAAAAAAAAATTTACTAATTGTCGATTTTTTGAATTTTCAAAAGTTTGAATTTCCAACAATTAGAATTCATAATAGTTTCATACTCCGAAAGTTAGAATTTTCAAAAATTACATATTTGTCAAAAGTTTTCTAATTTGAACGTCGAAGAAATGGAAAATAATAAGATTGAAAATTGATCCATTGGAAGGATGTGTTTGCGGTAAAGATAACTTATTGTTAGATGAGAAAAATAAATAATATGTTATAAAGGGATATAGAGAATATATAAGTAGGCATTGGAATCGCACACGTGTTCGAGTTACTGTGGCGCGGATACACGAGAACGGCATTACGGTAACGGGAACGGGAACTGTCCGCGGCGACACGACCTAGTCGCAGCGATGTTATAAACGTCGAGAGAGTGAGCGGCTAAGGAATTTAAAAGTGAAACTCGAAGATGATACGGATTCTCTCATCCTCTGCTTCCCCCCCCACACACACATTTATATATCCTTCTTTTCTCAGTTTATCCTAATTTTTGTATAGGTTTAGAGGGCTGAATATAAATATCCAAATGAGAAAATAGTTAGCGAAATTTCTCAAAAATTATATCCTTACAAAAAGTGGGAGAGAATTAACTTTCTATTCTGTTCAACCGTCTTTCGATTAATATAAAATTCAATTAATTTTCTATTATATTTTTTATCCCTCTTTGTATATTGTATCCAAAATTCTAAAATCTCATTTCATTTTATTTTTTTTTTCCTATTTCTGAACTAGTTTCGTTTGTTTTCAATTTTAAGACTCGATAATCTAATTCGCGTTTGTGCTTTTTAGATTTAATAATATATAGATAATAAAAACAGTTTTTGAAGACAAAAATTAGTGAAAACTTGAAGAAAACTAAAGTGAAAAAATAAAAGTGTGCGATGATATTAACGACAATTGTGCATTTAAGGATGATGATGATAAGTGTTGTTGATTATGTACAATAAAAATGTGCTGAACGAGAAAAAGAGCAGGTGAACAGATTTCTCCAATCCTTCTCTTGCGGAAGAACTTCTTCGTCATCATTGGCGTTACATTGATGGCAGATCATCGACGCAATAAAAATGTGAGTCACGTGATCTCAATAAATAATAATAACAATAA